TGGATTGGTAAGCTTGATTCCAGCTTTAATTCAAGGAGTGTAGTTAGAAGAATATGTACTCAAGACTTTTATCAGGCAAGTAAATCAGATAGCATCAAGCTTTGATCAACACTATCAGCCTGACAACTTACTTAAGCCAAACAAGAGAATGTTGTGTAGAACTCTGTTTTGGAATTGATCAAGAGTTGAGGTAGATGTGCTGGCATTTTAGTTTCTCTAAAGTTACTCACGATGTAATAGGTATTGTGCTGGGCCCAGCACTGTTGTGTATACACCACAGCCTTACCTGCTATCCAGGGAATGCTTTTTCTCTGTCATGGTCTTCAGGTTTAAAGCAGGCATTACTTTCCCTAGGATCCAGTGCTAATAATATTGAGTATTTAGGATGTGCCAGATGCTCTACTAAGTGCTTCACAATTTACAACGAACTTTTACTTTCTCTCATTTAGTCCTCAGAGTAACCTTTTTACAAAAGAGAAAAACCAGGAGACGTTAAGGGATTTGCCCAAGGTTTCAGGGTCTATGTATGGCAGAGCCAGAACTCAAGTCTGTTGCTTTTACCATGCACAATGCTGGGTGTCATGACCAGTCTTTCTGCCTTCATAAAGTCTAGCCCTACACTTGCAAAGCCTTCGGGAATTCTCCCTTAGAGGCTCTAGGTTTTTATTCCTCAGATTTGCTCAGATTAATAAATCTCCTAGAAATAGTGAGATTCTCAATCAAATTCGGAAACATTTAAACGTCTTTGGAGTTTCGAGAGTATTGATTACAGTTATTGAAAGGTCCTCTGAGGTACATGAATATCACACCCAAATAATTGTGAATGCTGGACCTAAGCCTTCTCACTTTCTTAGGTTTTCGTAGCTTCCCTGAATACCTGCGCCATTTAGCTGAGTAGTAGCTGCTTAGTTTTCTTAGCCACTTTTAGGATGGTCATCACTTCCTCATTAAAGCCAAACCCACTGCTGTCAAGTCACTTCTGACTCATGTGACCCCACGTGTTTCAGAGTAAACCTGCACTCAATAGGGTTTTCAGTGGCTGTAATTTTATGGAAGAGGATCACAGGCCTTTCTTCCATGGCACCTCTGATGATGGATTTGAACTGCCAACCTTTCGATTAGTAGCTGAGAGCAAACCATTTATGACATCCAGGGACCTACTTCCTCATTAGATATAGGTATTTTCTCTTTTTTTCAAAATTGCCTTTAAAAAAAAATTTCGTGTTTTGGCAATTTTAGTTTCTGAAGGATTTCCTTCTTTATGGTTAATGTCCTCATAACCCCTATGTGTTCCATCAGACTTTGGGAAATTGTATTAAATATCCCTGATTTTCCTTTCCTCTTCCCTCAAAGATTCTGCTGTTTTCCTGACTCTGTAGCTCCTTGCCCATCCAGGAACCAAAGGGCAGCACCTAGAATAGCCCAGGATATTTCTCTCTCCATACCCCCACCAGCCTCCTTACAGATGAAGATCTCTGGTTTGTGCTCAAAGGTTTGCCAGGATTGAGATTTTATACCATCCTGTTGTGAACAACTCTAGTGTTTGTTTTCATTCATTTTCTCTAGGCTCATTTATGTCTAATGTAAATTTATGCTTTATAGATTAACATCCTTGGTACATTTAATGTATTTGAAGTACCCAATCTGATTTTCTCCGTTTAGCTTCCTGGCAACTTACTTCCTTTGTTCTTGAGGTAACTCATCTGTGAAATGGGCATCATACCAGTCTACTACATCAGAGCAATGTTGAGGATCAAAGGAACATGCATGCAAGAGTGCTTTTGGAAAACAAATAACAACAACAAAGATTCAGTTGTGAAGAGGTGTTACTGTAATTAATTCCAATCTAATGAAAATAAGCAAAAACATAAATCCTTTATTTCAAGCAATTTTTGATTTAAAAAAATGGTGCAAACAGTTTAAATGTTTTGTTGGTGTTGGTTATGACAAGATTTGCTATGTATCTTTTACCCTTAGTCACTTTTTGGATTGTCCTATGGATCTGTTCTACATTTTCTGTGGATGTCCTTGAATGCTGTAGAGTCCTGGCAGGGATCAAGAGTGAGTGCTGAAGAGCTCCCCTCAACCCCCCGCCCCTCCACGTGATTCACTGCCAGTCTTTCCCAGCGGATGGAGCCCTTTGGGCTTCTCTTGCCATCAGAATGCACTTGGGGTACAGGCAGGCGGCAGTTGAGGTCCTCTCTTTCTAAACTCAGAGCCTAGCACTCCCTGGGAGATGGCTTGGAAATGCTGTCTTGGGCAAGCCACCCTCTCTGCTATGCCTCCCTTTTTCCTGGGAGGCATACCTAGGGCTCCTTTCTCTGTGGACATGTTTCATAGCTGACTATGTAGCTACCCACCTGCCTCTTTCTGCAGAGTCCTCAGAGCACCCTTGTTGCCTGTGCTAGGCTGACAAACAATCCCAAGGGCAGCTGAGGTCAGTCCCTTAGAGCTTTGGTTGGAGCTGTGAACCCCAGGCTGTGTCAGAGGAGTCTGGCTTAAGTATAAATAAACTTGCCAGAGCAGAACCCAAAGTGCCAGGGTTCACCTGCAGAAGAGACGTGAAACTCCAAATGCAGTACCCACCCCCTCTCCCTCCTGAGAAATCTGGAGCAACTTGATGTTTAAACTTGGAATAGTAAAAGAGGAGTGAGTGTGGCTCAGGAAGAGCTGCGTCTGCCCTGCATGACCTTGGGGGGCCTCTGGGCACTGTGGTCCAGACAGACATGGACTCTGATTTTAGCTCCATTACTGTGTGATGTCCAGGAAGGTGACAACCTCTGTGAGCCTGCTTCCTTGCCTATAAGATGAGGAGAGCTTAACCTACTTTATAAGGTTCCTTCAAGCATTAGATAAGGCATCACTCAATAAATACCAGCTCCTGTATGTTCCCACTAATTTCTACATCCATGGACCAGGGGAAACAGGATGGGTGTGTGATGGATGCAGAGGAGAGGGAGGGGATTGCAAAGGGAATGATTATTACGGGAAGGTGATAAGAGCTATATCTGAACACTGTGGCTAAACAGTGTCAAGGAAGCAGAGAGGTGTAAATGCCAGGGTGGGGGATGAGAAGCAAGGAGATTTGGGAAAAAGCCAGAGCCAGAAATGGAGTGTCCCTGTCCTGTGTGTCATGCTCCCAGAAGCTCAGCATGACAACCAGCTTCTCGTGTAAATTTTCCCTTTCAAGATGCCGATCCATAGAGCTAGCAGGGCTTGCTGAGCTAGATGCATGGAAGAGTAATAATAGCAAGAGTCACTGTTGAGCCAGACTGGGCAGTGGGTTCCACCACAACCACACTGTCTAGTGTTCCAGTCAGGGCGTCAGAGCCCAGGTTGGTCTGCAGCCGATTCCTCCATCATTTGCTCCTTTGTGTACCAGGTCTGTCTCTCCAATGAGGTAGTAAACTGTCTTGGAACTGAGGGGTCATCGTTGTCTCCCTGCCTCCTGTGCCTAGCATAGTGCTGTGAACATTGGTGGTCGGTAAATGTTTAAGAAAAAAATAAATATTATTCTGGAGCACAGCATCTTCCCTTGCTCATTAAGTGATGCGATTGATCCAAAAGTTGTTGCTTCCCAAGACAAGTCCAAACAGCTCCTTGAGAGGAGGACAGAGTGCTGAGTGTGAGAGCAGGTCCTTGGGATTGCTGTTTCTGGTCACAGAATAATAGTGCTTAAAAAATGTAAAGTTATTATGGAGCCCTGGTGGTGAAGTAGTTAAGAGCTCAGGCTGCTAACCAAAAGGCTGGCAGTTCAATCCACCAGCCCTCCTTGGAAATCCTATGGGGCAGTTCTACTCTGTCCTATAGGGTCACTATGAGTCGGAATCAGCACACAACAAAGTTATTTTAAAATAGGGCAAGGCAGAACTGAAACCATTCCCGAAGCCAACTCTTCAGACCAAAATTAGGCTTGACTATAAGACATAAAATGATACTCGTGAAGAGTGTGCTTCTTAGCTCAAGTAGATGCATGAGACTAAATGGGCAGCTCTTGTCCCAAGGAGAGATGATAAGGGAGAAAGGGGCAGGAGCTGGTTGAATGGACACCGGAAATCAAGGGTAAAAAGGAGTGTGCTGTCACAGTATAGGGAGAGCAGCTAGGGTCACATAGCAGTATGTGTATAAATTCTTGTATGAGAAACTGACTTGAACTGTAAACTTTCACTTAAAGCAGAGTAAAAATTAAAAAATAAAATAGGGTAACATAGTTATTCTCATGTTACAGCTGAGGTCTAACAAGGTCACACAGCTTGTGTGTAGGTTCCTGTGCTCCCTCCGCTCCCCTGACTGAGAAAAGATCTGCCTGCTGCCCAACTGACAGGCCAGGCTCTCCCTACCAGGAGGTGGATGTTCCACGGCTCCTGGTAGGGGCTCCTTATTCCACCATCCATCATGCCATAGTCCCACCGCAGCACCTACTGTGGGCGATTTCCATGTGACCTGGTGAGTGCTGCCAGTGAGAGGGCAAAGGACCGGGTGAACACGGTCAGATTCCCCCGAGGGGTTGAGGGGAATTTCCTGGAGCGCCTTGGATGCCTGGCACCTTGCAGGGCACGTCAAAGCGACATGGTTACGCCAGAGGAAGGCTCCTCACCCCCATTTTTACCCTCTGAAGAGGGGCTCAAAGAGGTGGAGCAACTACAGTACTGTGGGCCGAAGCTTGGTGGGAGTGGCGAGAAGGGTCGGGGACCTCTTTGCCCGCTGGCTGGCGCTTACCTAAAGTTGGTGGTGCCCACGTTGTGGGGCCGACGTGCGGATGTGTAGGTCTGTGGAGGCCCGCAGCCTCCCGGACGGACCCTCCAAGGGTGTCGAGCCTCTGAAAGAGAAAAGCCAGTCGAAGGGCTTGCGGGGCTGGGAGGGTACCTGCGCGGGCGGCGCTGGAGCTCCAGCTACACGCGGGGCAGGCTCCGCCCCCGAGGCGCTGCTTTAAAAGCAGGGAAGGCACGCGCCGGTCACTCCAGCGGCTGGGAAGCGCGCCGAGCGGCCAGGGGACAGCCATGGCCCAGCGAGCGAGGGGGGCTCGGTTGCTCGGAGGTCTTCTGCTCTTCTTTCTGCTCGCCGCCGGCGCTGCGCCGCTCAGCTGGGACCTCCCTGAGCCCCGCAGCCTAGCCAGCAAGATCCGAGTGCACCCGCGGGGCAACCTCTGGGCCACCGGTAAGTCCTTGGGGACCTGGGCGAGCGTCCTGCCTCACCCTGCTCTGACCCCACTTTCCTTACCATCCCTCTAGCCACTCCTCAGCCCTGGACATCCGTGCAGGTGGGCACCCTGAGGTTTATCTAATTCAGTCGATGGGGCAGTGAGACCCAGACTGATCAGTGACTTGGCTAAGTTTAAGGCAGAGCTGGCTCTAGATCCTAGACCTGACTGCCGGCTGGTGCCCCTTCGTTCCCTTAGGCAAGGTTCTCTGAGTGCTGCATCTTCTTTGAATCTCTCCTGTGTCTTCTCTCTGCACCTCCACCTTCCAGGCACCTCCTCATTCTCCGTTCATTCTCCACTGTGCAGGCAGCACAACTGGGAGGGTTTCTCCCTGGCCTTGGGCCATCCCACCCTCCTTCCAGCTGTGCCATCCTCTCCACTCCTACTCCTTTTCAGGAAAAGCTGAGGTGTGCAGGCTTTGCCGCCACTGAGGGGTCTTTGTGGCTCCTTGATGAGGAGCAGGAAGAAGGCCATGCCTCTTCCTGGCATGACAACTGAAGCATGGGAGAGATGAGCTTTCCCACTGGGGTGGGGTCCTGCTCCCTGACTTCCTTGTACCTTGGCACCTCCATTCCAGGTCACTTCATGGGCAAGAAAAGCTCGGAGCCCCCCAGCCTATCGCCATTGGGAGCTGCACCCCACATCTCCCTGAGAGACCAGAGACTGCAGCTGAGTCATGATCTTCTCAGGATCCTCCTGTTAAAGAAAGCCCTGGGCATGAGCCTTGGTGGCCCAGGACCCCGCACCCAGGTGAGCCAGGCCCCCACCACATGCCCAAGAGAGCCTCAGCCAGGGCTGACCATGGATCCAGCATAGGGTGAATAACCACCAAGCATTAGGTTTAGAGTGTGACTGCCCTGGGCATGATGGGTGTGGACCCCAGAAAGCCAGGGTTCCGGGCTCTCCCTGTGACCCAGGGCTCAGAGGGGAAGGATTCCAAAGAAAGAAAGCTGACCTCCTCAGCAAACCCCATGGAGCAACTCGATCCAATCACCAGTTTGAAGTCACAGCCAAGGATTATCCAGCCTGTTGCAACAGGACCTTCCTCCCCCAGTCCATACAATCTTACCCTACCCCAGCTGTCCCCCCACTCCCTGCATTAACCAAGTTCACCTTTGCCAGGTCTTCTTTGTGCTTCTGGCCAGAGCTGGGACTCTAAGGAGAAGAGTGAGTTAGTGGTTCATGGCCAAGAGAGAGCCCAGACTGTTCCCCTTGGCCTTGCTCTTCCTGTTCAGCCGTGCTGCCTCAGTGACCTATGGCAGGGTCCTCAGTCTCGGCACTCTTGACATTCTAGGCTGGGTAATTCTGTGTTGTGGGGGGCTGGCCTATGCACTGTAGGATGTATAGCAGCATCACTGGTCTCTATCCACTAGATGCAGTAGTACCCTCCTCTCCCTTCATTTGAGACAACCGAAAATGTCTGTAGACATCGCCAAATGTCCCCCCACCGGGGGCGGGGGGCAAAATCACCCTTGGTTGTGAATTAGCCTGGCAGAGCAGCAGCCCCTCTGTTTCTTGCTCCTGATGCTGTCGCCATTGCCCACCTCTCTCCCTGGTACTTGCTGTGTGCTGAAGGCAGTGTGGTAATGAATGTGGGCTCTGGTGACCTCTTGCTGGGCCCATAGCCCACTGCTGCCACTTACTAGTTATGTGACCTTAGAAACGTCATTTAATCTTTCCAAACCTCCTCTTCCTCATCCATAAAACGGATAATAGTGGTGTCCACTTCCCATTAATGGGAGCATTTATGTCACTTGGTCAGCATGGTGCTAATGGAACCAAGTTCACTCCTACCCTGGCAGCACCTATTGCTGGCTCACCTTTGTATCCCCCATTATGCCTAGCATAGAGTGCATATATTTTGAAAGTACAGGAGGAAGGGGATTCCCTAGAGAAGACCAAGTCCAGCCTCATCCGACATCCATTACCCTCCTGATGCACAGAACCTCCCGCCCCTGGGGACCTCAAATGTAAGGGTCAGGAGCTTGGGTTGACCGAGCCTGAAAGGAGACAACAGCACCTCTAGGGCCGTTGGTCTTGAAGGCCTGAAGCATGCAGACCTACTTGAGATTCTCAGAGGAAGCAGTACCTAACCCTGGGGTGTGGGACTTCAGAAGTGAGGTTAGGGGCAGAGCTGGGAGCAGGGAGTGAAGGCCTGGACACTGGGCCAGTGCCAGGCACTACTGGACTTCCACGATTTCCTTTGATTGTTATGACCATCCTGTGAGATCGGGGCTGTTATTCTGAGAAAACCACTGCCCCTGAGCCTTCCCAGGCCCTGTGGGGAGAAAGGTAGGGGGAGACCTGCTTCAGCTAAGAGCCTGCCCCTGCCCACCTCTGCAGATGCATAGCACTTAGGGATGGCAGTATGCCCCTATCCTTTGTCGCCATCCCCAGGTCAATTCCTTTGTGTGTTTCCCTTCAGTACAGGAGACTGCTGGTGCACATACTGCAGAAGTGATGCAAATAATGGGGCAGGCACAACGCCGCAGCTTAGATTGTGCCCACCCAGGGAAGGTGCTTGATGGGACCCTGGAGATGGCCCACCTGGATGTAGATCCTGGGATCAGATCTCTGTAACTCCGTTACTGTGATTTCTGGTTGGAGTCTCCAGGAATATCTCCAGTGCAGATGCAAATGATGTTCCTGCTGTATTTCTTGCTTCCCTGTTGAAGTTGTGAATAAAACCCTGCTATTTATATAGAATGTCTGGTCCTCTCTTTCCAGCCGAGTTTGAGGGAATGAGAGGGAAAGGGGACTGAAGGGTCGGGTGTTCAGTGAGATGGGCTGGCTCCAAAAAGCCCAGAACACTCCATGGCACCAGCCTAGCACTGACTCTGGACTCTTAACTCATTCACTCATTCAAAGAGCCCATACTTCAACGCCTGTTGCATGCCAGGTCCTGTGCCACGAGCTGGGTTCTACTCTTAGGTCTGCCATCTACTGGCGCAGGCAAGTCTCTGACCTGCTTCCTTGCCGGCGAAATGGGGCTCCCTACAGTATACTACGGGCTTCACATACCTCATCTATTTCATCCTCACGCCAAACTTTACGGGGCGTGCCCAGCGCATCCAGGGGAAAGAACAGAGTTAGGATCCAGACCCGCTTTCCGCTAACTTACTCTCTGGCCTTGGGTAGGGTTGCCAGATTTAGCAAACATTTGGGGTGTCTTACACCAAAAATTATTCGTTATTTGAAATTCGAATTTTAACTACTTTGTCAGGCAACCTTAGCCTTGGGATTCCCCCTCTGTGGGCTGAAGATACCTGGTCTTAAAACGGACAAGTAGATGGTACTTGGGCCCCGCCCGGAGCTGACATCCTGGGAATCCCTGAGTCTACGTCATTTTTCTCGGAGCTTTTGCCCTATAGTCACAGACCTTGCCTGACAAGGGCGCAGAGCATCCGCCGCGCTCTCGCAACTCAACGCCCCACCTACTTCTGGGAGGCCACGCCCACCGGCCCCAAGCAGGCCGCTCCCACTCCTCGCGAGAGGTCCGCGCCTCTCAGGAAGGTTCAGAAGCGGAAGCGGGGCGCCGGAAGCGACCGTTGCTATGGAGGCCAGCGAGGACTGGCTCGTGAAGTCCCTGCGCTTGTAAATCATGTGGAGCTGGGAGGCGGGGTTCGGGCCCGGAGCTGGTCTGGAGGGCGAATGGGCGCGGGGCGGAGGCACAGGGAAACGTGGTGTGGGTTGAATCCGCGGTAGCCGCGAGGCTAGGCCGATGCGGGATTCCGCCTAGGCCTTATCTCCGGCTTCTGGAAAATGACACCTTCGTGTGTGCTCAGGTTGCGCAAGGAACTAGTAGAAGCAGCGTTTGTGAAGGATAAAAATAACAAGTGACCAATTGTTTTGCGCCAGTCTCGAGTTAAACCCTGAACACTGGTTAATGTCACTGATTTCTCACATCAGCTCTGGGAAGTCTGGGTATTATTTTTAAAAAGAATACCATTTTACAGACGGGGACCGAGTTTTAGGCAGATTAAATGACTGACCTGTTCCCAGTCACACAGGGGGTAATGCAAAACCAGATTCATTGGTTCCAGGTCTGCCGGACTCCAGAGCCTACGCTCTTAACTAACCAAACCATGCTGCTATCTCAGAGTTCTTTGACTGTAAAGTGACATAAACCGTGTGACTTTGTCCCTATAATGCAGGTACGGGGATTTCCATGCATTTGACCTCTCAGGAGCCACTCGAGTCCTTGAATGGATTGATGACAAAGGTGATGTGCCTTGCCTGGCCCTGAAGGAGATGGAGTCCCACTTCTCAGGCTGGGAGTTGGGGGCTCAGTCCAGAAGAACCCAACCCACTCTTCTGGGAGCCTGAGGGCCTCTTGGTCACTTGTAGCAATTTAGTGCCTCATTAGCCTTTATATGCCTCTTGTTAGGATCTCTTCCATTCCCTAATCCAAGGCTGAATTCTAATAGGGGAGACATTTATCCTTGCTTTGGGGGATTTGGTCGGAGTTTCTAGACCCAGCCATGGTCCAGAATGTTTCTAGCAGTTTGTCACAGCTACTTCTGCTTTTATCTACAGGAGTCTTTGTTGCTGGCTATGAAAGCCTGAAAAAAAATGAGATTCTTCATCTGATATTACCTCTCAGACTTTCTGTGAAGGAGAACCAGGTAACTCGAATGTAAATGCTAAGTATATGTGTCAACTTTTATTTGTTTATTAAACATTTATGGAGCTCCTGTTATCTGCCAGGCATTGTCCTGAGTACTAGGGAGAGAGAGACAAAGAACAGTCTTGCCCTTACAGCCTGAGGGAGGCAAATACACACAGAGATAAATGTTAGAGAATGCTGGTGGTTCACAGAGGATTACTGGAGGAAGAGGTTAATTGTACTTTATCAAACATAGATTTAGGGAGCCATTAGGGTATAGAGGGTAGTTGAAGCCCCTAGAATGGGTAAGATCACCTAGGATGAATGGGTAGTATATAAGGATTAAGAAGAGAAGGCGGCCAAAGACAGAACACCAGGGAACACATTTAAGGGATGTTAGAGGAAGATGAACTCACAAGGAATACTGAAAAGGGCCAGTCTCTGAAGTAGAAGGAGTCTCAGAAAAGGTCAGTGTTTAAGAGAACATGTCAAGAAGAAAAGAGTGGGTAGCTGTTTAATGCTGCTGTAAAATCATTTAGATGAGGATTGAACTGTTCATCCATTAGACTTGGAAGCCCCACTGACCTTTGCCAGAACATTTTTGATGGCATGGTCAGGGCAAAAGACTGAAAAAGAGAAGGAAATGGAGTCAGAAAATGTAGGTAGGGAAGAAGCTAGTGCAGTAACTAGGTAGGAAACAGAGATTTGAGGGAGGGTTTCCAAAAGATAGAGAGGCTTGAGCAAGGTTAGAAGCTGTGGGGAAGTAGTCCCTGACAAGGTTAGGGTGAAAATGCAGGAGTGATACAGGGAACATGATATTGTTTCCAGGATGTATTAGTTGGCTAATATATCCCAGCTTTCTTTGATGAAGCTGTTAAGCCTCTGTGACTCCACTAAGAAGGCCTAGAGTCTAAGGTTTATGCCATAGTGAAAGGGGCTAGTGAAATGTTGTGAGAAGGGTTTTGGATGTGTAGGCTCCAGATGAGACCATCATTTACAAATAGCCACACCCGAAGGCCTTGCAGAGAGAAGCATCTGTTGCCAGCTGAGCAGCTTGCATGCCCTCCTGCCAGGCCGGGATCTGGCATCTTACCTAGAAACATTCCTTTGAAGAGCAGGCTCTATCTGATTGGCCAAACCTTTGTATTTTAGGGCTTGTTCCCAGAAAGAGATTTCAAGGTGTGCCATGGAGGATTTTCAGACAAACCTGTCTTTGATCTAAAGCATGTGCCAGAGACCAGGTATGGTTCAGCTCTGTATCCCAGACCTTCCATTCAGGAAGGGGTGGCTGGAAATGCTCAGGGTTCTCCTGCCTCTTTATCACCAGTAACCAACTCCACCTCCACCCCCCACCCCCGCCCATGCACAGGTGAGTGCCCGCATGAACAGACACACAGATTTTGGAATACAAAGAAATCATTGCTGTCCATCACAGCCCTTTTGACTGGAGTTTCTTCAGGGAATCGATATAGGCTAGAAGGATATGCTTAATTTCTCAGAGCTGTTGATAGGTAATTGGTGATAGCTCAGTTGGGAGAGACTGAGAGTCTCTGGGTCAGGGTTGTGAGTCCAGACTCCACACTGAGTGTCTTCTCTAGGTGGAGCAGCATGACACATGTTGGCCTGGGCTCAGTCCCAGCTCTGCTATGGACTCTCTGAGCTGTGGGCCTATCCCTGAAGCGTGCCCCTCATCTGTTAAATGAAGGTGGATGATCCCTGCTAGCAGTAAGATTTCCTGATGAAGGGGAGTGTAGGAATCCCAAACTGAGTGGGCAGGAGAGGGAAAGGCTGGGTGAGGGGAGAGGGGGTGAGCTCCCTGTGGTCTGGACTAAAATTCCCTATCCATCCTGAATAGGTTGCTGGTTACCAGTGGCCGTCCAGGTTGTTCCCTGCAGGTATGGCAGATCGCAGAGGACAGTGGTGAGTGAATTTGATTTGGTGGGGGGTTGGTGTTCTAAGAAAGCCTGATTATTCACACTCCCCACACCCTTGATCTGAGTTAGTTAAGAGGTGCACTCAAGCCAGGTGGGAATTAAAATGCAGTATCTAATTAGCAACCACAGCATGGTATAGAAGGCCAAAATGGAGCTTCGTATAACTTACTCCAGGAATTGAGCTTATGGAGCCAGTCAGAATCAGAGCATGTAGAGAACTACAGTCCTCTCCCCTAGGCAGGGGCAGAGGCAAAGGCAGGGTGAGGACTGCTCAGATGAGCTCACCTCACGGAGGAGGAGACAGAGAGGAGGTCACCTCTCTTTGTCGGCAAGTTAGCCCCAGAGAAGGAAAGTGAGTGAGCAAGAGGCAGGGCTAGGCAGTGTCTGGCTCAGAGAAGTCACTCTACTCCCCAACAAGGGAGTAGAGAGGAGCAGGAAGTATTAATCCTATTCCCTCTGAGAGTGGAGGAGAAATCCCCTCAAAGGAAATAGCGTTCCCTCCAGCAGTGGGTTTGTGGTCCTCTTGTCAGGCAGGCACCAGAGCATGCAGCCCCTCGCCTGATCCAGCCCCTTCCTTTCCTTCTCTAGGTAAAGCGTTGTTGGCCAGCGTGGAAGTGTGCCTCTGAGGCACAGGCAACTACTTTTGGACTTGCTCCTTTGGTTGCATGACCCTCTGTTTCTGGTCCCCATGCCACCTCACTTGGAAGCTTCCCATAGATTGGCCAGCAGCCACTGGCATCTCAAGCCTCCAGTGCTGCAGAAAGGCAGTTCTTACACTCATTTGCTTTTTGACATCACCGACCCTGTGGGCTTTCCTTTGTTATTTCCCTCCTTGTCACTTGTCCTATGCTGTAGCTTTGTTAGTTATATCACATACTCCTAGTTGTTATTGTTTTTGTTGTTTATAACTTTATTTACATATGTTTCACACATCATATAATTCACCTGTTTCAAGTGTACAATTCAGTGATCTTTTTGTAAATTTAACAAGTTGTGCAGCCATTACTATAAATCAGTTTTAAAACATTTTCATACTTCAGTAAGATTCATCATGCCCATTTACTGTTAACCTCCGCGTCCTGCCCCAGGCAACTACTAATCTACTTGTCTCTATAGATTTGCCTTTTCTGGCAACTTTATATAAGTGAAATCATACTACATGTGGTCTGTTGTATCTGGCTTCTGTCACTTAGCATAAAGTTTTTGAGGTCCATCCATGTCATAGCATATATCAGTAGTTTGTTCCTTTTTATTGCTGAGTAGTTTTCCATTATATGGATATACCACATTTTGTCCATCCACTTACCAGTTGATAGATCCAGTTTTTAACTACTGTGAATAATGCTGCTAAGAACATTCATGTGCAAGTCTTTGTGTGGCATAGGCTTTCATTCCTCTTGGGTAGAGCCTGCGAGTGGAATTTCTGAGTCGTGGTAAATTTGTTTGATTTTTTAAGAAACCACTAAACTGCTTTCCAAAGTGGATGCACCATTTTACATTCCCACCAGCAAAGTATGTGGGTTCCCGTTTTGTACTTGCTCGACAATGTTTGTCATTGTCCTTTTTATTAAGGCCATTCTGTGGGTCTGAAATTGTATCTCATTGTAGCTTTAATATGCATTTCCCTAATGACTAATTATGTTGAGTATCTTTTCATAGTGCTTATTAGCCATTTGGATATCATCTTTGGTGAAATGTTTATTAAAATCTTTTGCCCATTTTTTGATTGGGTTGTTTGCCTTGTTATTATTGAATTGTAAGAGTTCTTTCTATATTCTGGATACAATATTAGATATGTGTTTTGCTAATAAAGTCTCTTGTTTGTCTTTTCATTTTCTTAATGGTGTCCTTTAAAGCATAAAGATTTTACATTTTGATGAGATCCAATTTATCAGTTTTTTTTTTTTTTTTTTTTTCCTTTTAGGGACCATTCTTTTGGTGTCCTATCTAAGAAACTATAAATTTATCTTTTTGCACGTGGATATCTACTTGCCCCAGCACCATTTACTGAAAAAGCTATCCTTCCCCCATTGAACTGTCTTCATGCCTTTGTTAAACATCAGTTGACTGTAAATATAAGGATTTATTTCTATACTCTTGATTCTGTTCTGTTGATCTATGTGTCTGTCTTTTTGCCAGTAACTTGCAGTTGTTTCTTTATCTTCACCTAAAAATAGGCTAGGTGAAGCAGAGTAGTGCAGCAAAAGCATGCTGGGCCCATAAAAATAGGCTAGGTGGGGCAGCAGTGGTTTAAAAATGAGAAGAGGAGCCTTACTAACCACTTGGAGGCCCGTTGGAATTACCTTTGGTCCTGACAGTGAGCCTGGTACCAAGTACCATACAGAACCTGTAGCCCAGGCATAAGGGAGTGAATGGCCCAACGGAACTAAAGAGTCACCTGCCTCTAGATATTAGCACAGAATGTTCCAGATCCTGGGGAAGGCTGGCCAGCTATTTTCTTCGAAACTTAAAAGCATAACATTATTTTTGTGAATTTTCCAAGGCCCAGGGTTTGACCCATAGCCTTGGTGTCTCAGAACCCTGATTTTGTCAGCACATCCAGAACAAATCTAATCTGTTTGTAGGGGCTGGCACTCTCACTAGACTCACAAGACTGCTGTATAATCAGAATGCAAATTTATAAAATGAAAGAAGAAGTATCACCAAAAATGGAATGTTCCAGATCCTTACGACCACCTTATTCTTTGATTATATAGAAGTCCTAGTCTAATCAAAGGCTGCTTGGTGAACATAACCACAAAAAGAGGAATCAGAGGTTTCCACGTTGCTTTTTTTATAAGACATCTTAAGCAGAAAGTATAAAACTTGTGAAGGCTTTGCTGCCTAGGCCCTGAGTGTTGTCCAAGCCCTGAGGGTGGTGCATGAGGCCTCTTTCCTCAGCTCTAGGGGTGCGGAAGCCACTGAGTTGGATTAATACAGTATCTAAAGTTCTCAGTTGAGTGTTGACTGCTGCTTCCTCTTTGAACTTAAATATTTAGTCTGTTGGTGTGGCTCCCTGTCACCTGTCCCAGTGTTTTCTTTGCCTCGATGACTGAACAGCCCCCCTCTCACAGATACTGCTTTTCTCTAGACATGTTAATATACTTGGTCAGGATTGCAGGTCCAGGAGCCATTCTGGCTCCTTAAAGTACCTTTGCCTACCTCTGCTGTAACCCATATGGTGTTGGTTTCACTTTCGGAGACATTTTTTCCCTTATATCCAAGTTCTTGAGGGTGCCTCACTATGTCTTTTGCTTTGATTTTGTAGTCGTTTCTCTTTTCAGTTTGAGGCTGGTTTGATAAATCTGGTGTGAATTTCCTAGGAAAGAGCATTTTGCCACTGAGTTTAGAGAGAAGGAGAAGAAAACCTGGATTTCTTTCCTATTGTCATTGTAGAGTAACTCTCCAGTAAAAGGGCCTCTAAAGCTTATGTTTTCCACTGAATCTTAGAAGTCGGCCTTTGAAGGCTTTTGCTTGACTCTCCCTCCCTCCACTAGGCACAAATCTCATACTGAGAACCATCCTTTGGCCCAGAGCAGCAGGTCCTAGGGGATCTGTTCCAGGCTCCTCAGAGTCTGGAAAGGGAAAAGGGAGCCACTTAAGTGTGGCCCAGGAGAGTCAGGCAAGTGCTGTGGGGCTGGTATGAATCACAGCCTCACTGGCTTCTTAAAGACAAACTCTGGTCCTGAGGGTCTGCTGTTGTGTCTGCTCCAAACCTCCACAGCTCCTTGTGGTAGGAGCACATTAAGTTTAGCAAGTCAGGATGACGCGCGTCTGGTGTCCTAGCCTGTAGGCTTTGGGACTAGTGCTCAAGCGTCCTCTGCATTCTAGCCCATCCTAGACATGCCCCTCTGTGCTGTCTTTGCATGTGAAATATCTTGAGGGACCTTTTGCTGTGAGCTTACTTGATATGCCATTTTAATGTTCCTTCTCTTATCCATTGCCTTGCTCATTCTGACTTTCATCTATCTCTTAAAATTTTAAAAATATATAGATTTCGTTTTTTTCAGAGGATGTGGAAACCAAATAATAAGTGCCCTCTTGGAGCAAAGAAAATATGAACTGGAAAATACAAGTCTCTCTAAAAGTAGTTTGTACTGCAAATTGCTTGTTCTGAACTATGTTATAAATGGCTTCCTTAAGAGAAGCCTCAAAATGTAGAACACAGAGGTGAGAACCTGCCTGCCAACCAGACAGGATGAGACAAACTAAAATTCGATTCTCCTTGAGACCAAGTATATTTTTCTTCCATTCAGTGTAAAAAAGATGTGGACTTTCTTGTCTGGTTTACATTTTAAGACAATGACAGTTGCATTGAAACCTTTACCTGCTAGACTTCAGCAAATGGCTTGAGGTCATAAAGTATGTTTCTGAGAAAATAATAGTACCCCATAAAGTTTCCAAGACTGTATGGAAGCAGACTGCCGTATCTTTCTCCCACAGAGCCGCTGGTGGGTTCTAACCGCCGACCTTTCAGTTAGCAGCCGAGTGCTTAACCAGTGCACCACCAGGGCTGTTTCATGAACTCTGTACCTGTTATTTTTCATTTAAGGTATAATTACATCACCAGTGTGTTCTTTTCTTTTCCTTTATTTGTTCTCCACAAAACTATAAACAGCTAGAACTGCTTTTGGGGTTTTGAGATAATTGCTATGATTCATTATCTCCCACTTTCAGAATAGTTAATAAGACAAATTATAAAGAAATTAAAGTGCTTCTAACAGTTTCAGAAATGTAAACATAACCCAGAGTGTTTACGTCTCAACATCCTCTCTTGCCATCTTTCAGCTCCCTTTCCTCCTTGACCTTCTAAATGTAAGGCTGAAAATGGCTGGCCAGCCTTTGCCATGTAATCTTTCAAACCTTTGTTAACATTCTGGAGTTCAGCTTCTTCCCTTTTTCCCTCAGATGTCATTAAAGCTGTCAGTACCATTGCTGTGCATGAGGAGGAGGGGAGCCTCTGGCCGAGGATGGCTGTCTTCTTTTCAGTGGCTCCTGAAGTCCTCCACGGGACAAGGCTCAGCAGTCTGAGAATTACAGACCTAGAATCCCAGAAGACCACGTACACCTCAGGTACTGCAGCTGTACACACCTTGCTTGCTCCTCCAGGCAGCATCTTCCTCCCAGCCCAACTCAGCCACGTTCTACACCTAGTTCAGTCCTCTGTGCCAGATGCTAGGGAACAAGATGAATAAGAGGCAAGCCTTGGTCTGAAAGGCTCCCTTTCTGGGGTAGAGGGAGGCCGTCCCAGGGACTGGCATCCACTCCGCTGAGTAGCATATATTCAGATGAGAAGGGAGAAGCATTTCATTCGGCCTGGGACTGTGTGGGAAGCTTCACAGAGAAAACGACTTGTGAGTGGTCATCTCTGCCAAACTTCCAGTCACATCTGTCTCCAGCATCTTTTCTCCTTTGCCTTCTGTATTCCAGGTGTTGGTGACAGTGAGGTGCTGAGTAGCCTGCAGGTCCTAGGTGCAGACACCTTTGCCTTCTGCTGTACCTCAGGCCGGCTGGGCCTTGTTGACATCCGCCAGAAGTGGGCACCATCTGAGAACCTTGGCTCCGGCCCCAGGTCTGGTGGAGGGAGGTGGTGTGCAGAAGTCAGGGGCATGGGCCAGTACCCTGGGCCCAGCATTGCCAGCCTTGGCTCAAATGGGCAGCTCTGTCTCCTCGACCCCCGGGATCTCTGCCACCCTGTGAGCTCAGTCCAGTGCCCAGTGTCCACACCTAGCCCTGACTCAGAGCTGCTGCGAGTGACATGGGCCCCCATCCTGGACAACTGCTTAGCCATTTCAGGTACTGCTGAGCAGAGTTTTTGCCTGTTATTTGATCTCTTTCTTCTCGGGACTACAGGGTGTTCAGGAAGGAGTCCTCAGGTTTTGATGGAACAATCCACTCCTATGCTGTCACAGCTTGGGGTGGAGTGGGGAGCGAAGTAGGACCTCTCTTCACTCACAGAGATCACATCTTCCTAGATGCAGATCTGGCCCCAGAGGTTAGAGTTAGCCACAGCAAAGCTCCAGATTAGCTTCCAGGTTCTTCAGTGGCAAGCCCTTCCCTAGCTTGACTGTTACTCTTACGCATATTTACAGCAGGAGTTTAGTTCAGAGGTTGGTCAAGAGGCCTGGAGATAGAACTGTACCAGAAAAAGGTGGCAGGACCTCAAGGGTGCTTCTCAGCCTCCTTTCTTTTTAAATTGTAGCAAGCTAGCTCCTGGGTTTATCTGGTGGTATCTAGTTGAAGGAGGATATTTAATGTGGGTATCTAAAACCTAGTGGAAAGGCTCTCTACTAAGAAGTAAGAGTTGAAAGAATAGTTGAGAGAGCAAGAAAGGATAATTGGTAGTGAAGGATCCAGAAAGGGCAGAAGAGAAGATCCAGAGCTTGGATGGAGGGGTTGGCGCTTTGTAACAGAAAGACAGCAGGATAGGTCGGTGGACCAACATGAGGTTGCTGCTCTCTAAAGGCTTCTGTTTCCCCCATCAGGTAGGAGACATGGCCATCTGCTGGGCGGGGCCGGGGAGGTGGGGGATAGGAATTAGGGGCAAGTGGAGAAGGTCTGAGAATGTCTCTTAAGCCTCAGTTTCCTGGGGGAAATAATAGTACCTATTTCATACAAAGAGGAGCCCTGGTAGCACAGTGGTTAAGCGCTCAGCTGCCAACCAGAAGGTTGGTGGTTCGAACCCACCAGCTGCTCTGCGGGAGAGAGATGCAGCAGTCTGCTTCTGTAAAGATTGCAGCCTTGGAAACCCTGTAGGGCAGTTCTCCTCTGTCCTCTAGGCTGGCTGTGAGTTGGAATTCAACTCAACGGCAGTGGGTTTTTGTTTTACTTCATACAGTTGTGCAGATGAAATCATGGGTGTCCAGGATTAGCCTCAGGCCTGGCATGCAGTAGATGTACAGCAGGTGTTCACTGTTTTCCTGTGTTGCCATCACACGCCCAGTGGGATCATTAGTTGTCAATATTGAAGGTAGATGTTTTATACCCTTAAGTTAGCCTTTGAGGTATCTTTGTATTTCATTCCTTATCCTATAACCTGTTTTGTTACCATAGAGAAAATTATAAAAATTACTTGAGGGATTCCATCTCAATCCTCTCTTTTCTATGTTCTTCTTCAGGTTTTGATGGAACAGTCCAGATCTATGATGTCACGTCTTGGAGTGGAGTGGGGAGCCAAGTAGAACCTCTCTTCACTCACAGAGGTCACATCTTCCTAGATGCAAATGAGCTGGACACTGCTCCACTGGTCACTACCCACACCTGGCACCCCTGCAAACCAAGGACTTTGCTGTCAGCAGCAAATGATGCCTCTCTGCATGTGTGGGACTGGGTGGACCTCCGTGCCTCCTGCTAAGACCAGCATCTTTGCCCAGGCTCCTAGGAAGATAAGGAGCTGCTGTAGTGGCAAGGGTACCAATTCAGGACTCAGTGACCAGATGTCCCTGTTACCAGCTGTGTGGCCTTGAGCAAGTCACCCAGCCTCTCTGAGCCCCCGTTTCCTTACCTGTAAAACGAGGATAGTAATAACTACCTTGTAGGTTGTTGGGAGGGTTAGAAATAATGTATTAAAAAATACCTGGCAGAAAGCTGGATGTTCAGTTACAGGTGATTTAATTTCTATTTGTGGGAATTTTGAAACAGAAATCATTGTCTTATCTGGTTAGCCCTTGACTAACTCAACAGCATATCTTCAGGAAAATACCTTGTTTGTAGTGCTATATCCCAATACTGGTTAGTTTCACTCTTGAAATGATTTATTTCACATAATTTTTATGAATGTTATGAGTAGAGAGACATGTACATGTTAAAAGCATGTTGTATTATACATAGATTCATTTTTTAAAGTTTATAAACATAAGAGTGATACAATTGCAGAAATCATTTTCTTAAACACAGTATGTAGTAAGATTCTTCACGGTAACTCACCTTACGCATATCTAACTACATATACTGCCTGTACCACATTTTGTTTATCCATTCATCTATTAATGGACACTTGGGTTGTTTCCACCTTTGGCTGTTGTGAATAGTGCTGCAGTGAACATTGGTGCACAAGTATCTGTGTGAGTCCCTGTTTCCAAGTTTTTGGAGTATATACATAGGAGTGGGATTGCTGGGTTATATGGTAATTCTATGTTTAACTTTTTGAGGAACAGCCAAACTGCTTTCCACAGCAGCTGCACCATTTTGCATTCCCACCAGCAATAGATGAGGATTCCAATTTCTCCACATCCTCACTAACACTTATTTTCCATTTTTCTGATAATACCCATCCTACTGCGTTCTCTCATGAGAACTTGAAATAACACAACATAGACTGCAGTCCACTGGGAAGGATTTAAGGGCTGGAGTCAGTGCCCAGGCCAGCTTCACCATGTGTGAGGCTGGGTTTCTAGGGAGCAGGAACAAAGGACCCATGGAAGGAGACATTCCACAGGAGACTGGCATACCCCTCTCACATCAGAGTGGCTGAGATGCTTGAGATTGAGACTGAGGAGGTAAAGTGCTTAGCACAGGGCCTGATGCATGGAACACTCAGTAAGATAAAGCTGTTGTGATTCTTAACTGGAGGGCTGACATAAGCTGTATTGAAGATACTGTATAGCTGGAGTCCTGGAGAGAAGGGAGAAGGTCAGTTCTCTGGGGGGTGGAGCAAAGTTATCAGAAGCAGATAAGTGGGAGCCCATTCTGGGGTGGGTCAGCCAGGAGGCCTGGGTCATGTTCACCACTGACAGTGGGGTTTGCAAAGTCACCATCATCGCTGATTATATTCTGTGCAGACATCACAAGCCTCTGCCCTGGGGCCTAGAGTCTGATGATAAATTCAATAAAAACATCTCTCCCTTTGACCAGTCTACCCACAGAATTCACTTGGAATTAACGTAATTAATGGGTTAATATAATTGCGTCAGCTTTGGCTAGTAGGATTAGTGCCCTGAAACCCGACTCCAGTGTTTGCTACTTTCTGTAATGGGGATGAAAACCAGTATTTTTGCTATGAGTTTCTTCTATAAAAATTTTGCAACGTATCGTTTGACTGACCGAATCTGTCATCTGTTACAGCTTTTGTTATAAGTGAATTTCCTGCAGTCCCAGTTGTAGCTTTCATTATTTTTGTCCTATAGGGATTTCCAAGTACACAGCTTACAGAATTACCTCTGCTTGTCTAGTTCAGATATTTGAAGCCATGAATGCAAGTTTGAAGTGAGTTAAAAATAATGGCCTCTGACAGAAAGGGCCACATAAACTGGAGACTGCAGCAACCTGAGACCAGAAGAACTAGATGGTGCACAGCTACCACCAGTGACCACCCCGACAGGGAACACACCAGAGAGTCCCTGTTAGAGCAGGAGAAAAGTGGGGTGCAGAACTTAAATTCTAGTAAAAAGACAGACTTAATGATCTGACTGAGACTGGAGGAACCCCAGAGAGCATGGCCTCTGGACTCTGTCAACCAGCACTAAAACCATTCCTGAGGCCAACTCTTCAGTCAACGATTAGACTGGATTATGGGACATAAAATGATACTCATGAAGAATGTGCTTCTTAGCTCAAGTAGATAAATGAGACTAAATGGGCAGCTCCTGTCCAGAGGTAAGATGAGAAGGCAGAGAGGGTCAGGAGCTGGTTGAATGGACACAGGAAATCAAGTGAAAGAAGTGTGCTGTCACAGTATAGGGAGAGCAATTAGGGTCACATAGCAATGTATGTATAAATTTTTGTATGAAAGACTAACTTGAATTGTAAACTTTCACTTAAAGTACAAAAAAAAGGAAAAAAATAGTAATAATGGCCTCTGGGCTTCGCTCGTTAGAGTACCCAAACTAAACCCACTGCCATTGTGTCAATTCCAACTCATAGCCACCCTTGAGGTTTCCAAGGCTGTAAATCTTTACAGAAGCAGACTGCCACATCTTCGTCCTGTGGAGCTTATGGTGGGTTCAAACTGCCGACCTTTTGGTTAGCAGCTGACCGCTTTAACCACTGTGCTACCAGGGCTCCATCAGAGTACAGTGGTAGACAAAAGGTAAATCAAAACACTTTTGAGCACAATATGGGTGACACTGTGCAAACCATATTACATTCTGGAACACTGGGAAACATTGCCATGTAACTATTAAATCACAGTTTAACTCACTGTTTAAAGTATCCCTTTTAAGAATACTAACAGCAAACATTATTTAAAACGACTGTCTAAAATGTCCCATTGCTCTAAGGATTATAATACTTACGAATATTTACAATCTCCATCTCAGTTTTCCCATTACTTCGCTGAGGGGAAAGATGCATTTGAGATGAAATTATATGGATATAATATATTGAATCTCCTTGTTCTACTCCAAAGCAGTATGATGGCAAAAGTTTCTGAAAGGGAATCTGGTTATTTCTGAAGCCATCTTCTAATGCAGTGCTACTTTAGGTATTAGTATGATGCATTCCCACCTGAGTAAAGAATTTCTTATTTCAGGGAGTAAAATGATTTTAAACAATCCATACCAGATTTCCTGGCCATGCAAGAAAAATGTTAAATTCAGGTTTCTGGGAAACCTCTTTGAAAACTGTCTCCAAAAACAAGTTCTTAGCCTCCTCAATGTCAGTCAATTGACATCTGTCAAATTTTGGAAAGCAGAAATTGGTCATAGCCAGGGCTCATGGTAAGATAAATGATTTTTAAAAAACACAACAAACAGTTGCGATCGATCTTGACTCATGGTGACCCCGTATGTTTCAGAGCAGAACTGTGCTCCACAGGGTTTTCAATGGCCATGATCTTTCGAAAGTAGATTGCCAGGCCTGCCTTTCGATGTGTCTCTGAACTGGCAACCTTTCTGTTAGGCTAGATAATAAACAAGATGGTCGTTCCATCAGTATTTATTAAGCCATTTCCATGTACAAGACACTATTCTAGGTGCTGGAAATAACCGATGTGACAGGCTTTCTTATGTTGTTTGAAGACATCCCTAAAGAAAAACTCATTAATGTCTTGAATAATGGCAAGATAAGAAAGTCCACAGTCCATAAAGTGACTGCCTTTGACAGACAACACTTAATTTGGATAAGTTCTTTTATGATTAAAAAAGTCTCATTACTTAATAGTCTTATTTCATAAGCCTAACTGGATAAAATTGTAATATATGTAGGTTATGCTTCATTTTATCATTGATGAGTTTCTGGAAAGTTTTGTGAAAATATTTTAAAATCAAACACACAAAGGAAACTATTAAGAGGAAAGAACTGTGTTCCATTTATTCTCAAGCGTCACTTGTTCTGTAGGCCAGAGCCCCTCCAGCGTGCAGCTGCTCTGACAGAGATGCCCAAACCTGCGGAATCCGTCTGCCTGCACAGTCCTCTCTGGAAGGATCTGGAGACTCCAGCTCAGACAGAAACTAGTGGACTCATCAGAGGCAGGTGATGTCAAGGTAAGTCCTCCAATTAGGTGACTTCTTAATCAATGTCATTATTATGGATTGAATTGTGTCTCCCAAAAATATGTGTTATAAATCCTAACCTGTATGCCTATGGTTATATTCCTACCTGGGAATGGGTTTTGTTATGTTAATGAGGCAGGATTAGTGTAGGTCTGTCTTGAGTCATCTCTTTTGAGATATAAAAGAGATTAAACAAGGAAGCAAGAGAAGCAGAGATGGGGGGAGATTGATGCCAAGCCACATGGAGATCGCCAAGGAACCAGGAAACATGCTGAAGACAGGGTCCTTCCCCTAGAGCCAACAGAGAAAGTCTTCCCCTAAAGCCAGTGCCCTGACTTCAGACTTCTAGCCTCCTAAACTGTGAGAAAATACATTTCTGTTTGTTAAAGCCATCCACTTGTGGTATTTGTGTTATTGCAGCACTAGATAACTAAGAAAGTCATGGTTCTTACTTACTGCTCTGAACCTATTTACAAACAGATAAGACTGTACCCACGTCATTATCCTGGTTCAGTCTTCTAGACTCAGTCTCACATTTCTAGGATACCATATGAGCTGTTAGGCTCTACAGCAGCACAGATGGCAACAGGGAGCAATTCTGCCTTACAGAAATTCTGTTTGGGTAGAATCATGAAATTGCTGGTTTTGTAGATCGAAAGTGTCAATTTCATATGGTTCAACCTAACATATTGAGAGGTGGAGTAGGCTATGGTTTGGAAAGCCAACCTTTAGCATTGATATTTCCTCCTTTTCCTGCCTCCAGATAATATAAAGAGTACTTCCCTCTCAAGTAACTTCATATAGATCTTAAGAAAAGGAATGTGGGAAAATGTACACATGTCCTGAGCCCAATCCTCCCACACGGAGAACAATGGAAGACCCTTAAAAATTAACTTAGTTAAGAAAATAAACCTTTGTCTGAGAAGAAACAGCCCAGCCATTGTTGGGCCCCAGCCCAGCTGGACAGCTGATCCAGTCACCATTAGTGTCATCAAAGCAGGAGGACAAAGCCTCCTCTGTCCCTAAGGGAGGGCCTCAGGGACAAGAATCACAACCTCCTCTTACGAAGCTGTGAAAATTAAGTCCCAGAATCACAATGAAGACATATCAAGATGGTGACATAGTCAAATTCAGAACTCTCTGAATCCTCTGGGAATTGCCTTCCATTTCAACAGCACAGATAAGAAAACCCTGAGTAGGATTTCATAAGCCAAGTTAGCATTTAGTAAGAGAAAAAAAATAAGGTCTCTTGGACTGGAAGCTAAATCCCCTCTCCCCATTTCATCTGAGCAACTTGGTATAGAATGAAGGACCAAATGAACTCTTTTGGGGGGATAGATCCCCTAATGTTTTCAA